GGAGGGAGGGAAGGGTTAGAGTTCCTGCTTCAAGGAGCAGGAGATGAGAGAATTCAAATGTCTTGGGGGAAAAAAATAGAGCACGAACCTCAAGGATGGTTTATGTGGCTGATTTTTCTCTACTTTCAGCAAAGAAGATGCAGTGGTTGGAAGGAAATGAGCAGATTAAAAGGTCATAGAAGAATGAGTCCAAATCTTGCAAAGTTTAAGAGTTTGTTTTTTACACTGATGCATACATATATTCCTAATTATAAATATTAATTTATATTTATTTCTGATTTAAAAGTCTTAAATATACTATATTTGCATATGCAGTATAGATAACATATATACACACGTGCAATTCAATGGTTACAGATTATTCTCCTGCACGCAGAACAATGTCTACATTGACTAGTTAGCTGTACAACAATGTAGGTGAGTATGCCAATATATCACATGGGCTCGCATGTGAATCACATCTCTAGAGTGAGCTGTGTAACTTTGGGCTAGTCATTCTGACTTTCCATTCTAAGAAGGACATCTTAAAAATGGTGTGCATACAGCACTTGGTCTCTGATACAAAATAAATGCTAAAATATCAAATGCTAAAATATAAATAAGTTTTTATGATTTTGCCCTGCTTATGAATATGCCCAGCATTATTCTGCCTATGTACATATGAATATTATTGTTTTTACTCAATGTGCATGTTTAGTTTTGAAAATCTGGGCTTTTAAAAATTGCTTTTCAAAATCATCTTGAGTTTTACCCTGTTGCCTGTGTCTGTAGACTAAATTCCCTTTTAACAGGTAAAACTAAGCTTCTCTCTTAGCTTTTCACACCCTACAATACTCTATTTCTAGTGAAAATATCGCAAACATCGTGCGCAGGGCGGCAGCAGAGCTCGCGTCTGTAGGACGCTCCCCTCCAGCAGGGCAGGGCTCCTTCCTGCGCTGTGCACAGGAAGGGCTCTTGTCCCTCAGCCTGGTCCCTCCCGGGTGCCCCTGGGGTACCGCGGGCCTCACAGCCACCTCTCCGCTGGTGCAAATCCCACCTATCTCCTAATTCTGCCATTTATCACAAAGCTAACTTTTCAGGCGCTGTATCTGAAACTTGTCGTAGAATGATCTCCTGTCTCGTCCTAAGCTATCTTTGGAGCTGAAAGGAAACTTTTATGTAACAATAAATCACAGAGTGCCCGATTTTGTGTTTTCTTAAAGAAGAATGAAGTCATATACAAAAAATCAACAATAAAAATATATTTATGTAACAGGAATGCGAACTTGTTATAATTTTATGCTTTCTATGTTTAATCTATAATACTTAGTGAAGACTTTTGGAGGAATAATTATCCCATTTGTCTTTGTTCTCTTTCATTACATTGCGTCAGCGCATGTTTGCAGTGCATGCCCTCTCCAGTCACCTTGGAGAGTTGGTACATGGGCATACAGCAGCTTGTTTCCTTTTAGTCCCCTCCCGTCCCTGTGCTTTCATCCTCCTCCAGCTCTGTTCCCTCTTTTCATTCTTGTTGATATTATCAATCTTAGTTCATGCTTATGGAGAATACTGGCCACACTTCACTGGAGCTGTGGCAACTTTGTACCTGGCGCAGCGCCGCTCCTGCTCCTCCCCATGCGCAGGAGGTCCCCCTCTTTCCCCTCCTGCCCTTCCTTCATTTTCTCTTAGTTTGTACTTGCCTTATTCAGATAAGAAATATTTAACTACACCTTGCAGAGTGAAGTTTTAAAGGAGAGAGTACTAAATCTGTAATCTACTTTTAATTACATTAGATACGGATTAATGGGAAAGTACCTGGAAGGAGCAGTGACTGTGCGTGGACGGAGTCTTTTTTTTCAAAAACTCGAGCGTGGAGGGTAGCACGGCGGTTGCCAGGGTGGAAGCTGGGAGGGGTGGGGAGAAGTATTCAGAGTGTAAGTTTGTGCTGACACAGAATCTGTGAGGCTTAGGGGCTCAATTCACACCATGAGGGTTTCCATAATTTTGTACTGAAAATGTGCAAAGAGAAAGGGTTTAAAGTGCTCTTACAAGGGGCTGGGGAGATGGCTCAGTGGAATAAGTGCTTCCCTGGCAAAGGCAAGGGCCTGAGTTCAACCCTGGTTCTGCCAAAAAAAAAAAAAAAAAAAAAATTAAAGTGCTCTTACACACACTTTTACAGGTTACCATTAATATGTAATTTGTTTGGCTACTATTTTTTTACTGTATATATGAAAGCATGTTATAAACTTTAAATATACACAATAAAAATAAGCATACACTTATAGGTGTTCACTGTAAAGTGATTTTAGCATGGTAGAGTTGAAATTTTTCATTAAAATCCTTCCTCAAATGACAAAACACATAATCCATAGATTCTGATAATAGGATCAAATATTCAAGATTTTATTTACGTCCCTTCTCATGGTAACCAAGAAAAAACCACAATGTTTTAAAAAGGCTTTGTACTTCTAGCTTCCAAGCATAGCACATACATGATTGTTTAAACCAAATGCACTCATCAATCATTAAACGTTCGGGGTATAATGGAAGCGTTGTTTAATTGGATTAGTCCACACTTGCAATCATTAGCCATCTTCAAAGATTTTCATTCCCTTCTACAGGTGTTGCCAAGTCATGTATTTGACAGTTATCACCATAAAGGTCAATTCATGACACATGTGATATGGTACTTCAGTGATTAGGCTTTAGGAAAGATTTTAAGGGGTTCCCACATCTGTACCAGCATGAAGCTTTCATAAATTGATGCCACATAAACACTACACATAACTAAAGTAAAAGGTACAATGTGAAAAAGAAAAAATAATTTTGGACCTATAGATTAAAAGCCTTTATCACTAATAACATTAACCTATGAGGCCAACCTGTACGTACGTATTATCACATTTAAACTCACTAATATCTGTGAAGTGGTGCCCTATTTTGTAAAATAGGAAACTCATGTACAGAGATTTAAGTAATTTGGCTGTGATTATGTAATGACTTGAGGCATCTGAATTTAAAGTAGTAATAG